CGCCACCTGTTGGCAGCTCCGCGGCTGCTCAGCTCAGGCTGACTTGAACCACTGTTGCTCAGAGCTCAAACTCTTGAGCGAGCTCTTAACCAACTGAACCACTCAGCCGGCCCTCTAGCCTTTTAATTGAATTGGTATTAGAATGATTAAACTAGAGCCAAATGTCATTTTTTTATTTTAAATTTTGAACTGTCTTATGTTAATGAAGCTAAAACTTTAGAAGTGTTTTATATGAATCTATCAATTACAAAGTATTTTAGATTTTAGAACATCAGCATTCTTCAAAGTAGATGGTTTTGGATTGTGTGTTTACTAAGGAGATTGAGGCATTGATTTTATATTTTATTGATACCTTTATATTTACTATTTCACTGTTCATGTTCATTGTCAGTATTCTGTGCTCAAAGTTTTTTTCCTCTCCCCACACAGCCTGTTTACTGCCCTCTTATTTTCATCCATCACAACTCTTCCAAAGTTACATTCTCTGTGTTCTTCAGTGACCTCATTGTAAGTTTCCTCTTGAAATACTTGATATATGAGGTATGATCGAAAAATATGGTGAATGTTTAATTTAAGAAAATTACAGTAAAAGACACATTGCCATTAATCCCCCTCAAAATACTCCCCCTTGCTTCAAACACACTTATCCCATCGTTCTTGCCACTTTCTGAAGCAGTCCTGGAAGTCCTCTTTTGTGAGTGTCCTTACTTCATCATGACAATGCTCTGTGTTACACATTGCTTCTGGTAGGGCAATTTCTGTCATATAAAACATTACGGTGTGTCCTCATCCACCTTATTCACTGGATCTCACACCACATGACGTCTGGCTCTTCCTCAAAGTCAAAATGACCATTAAAGGTAAATGCTTTGAATCCATTCAGGACATTGAGGCAGCCACGACGACACAACCAGACACTCATGAAGGAGGGCTTCCAGAACTGCTTCAGAAAGTGGCAAGAATGGTGGTATACGTGTGTTTGAAATGAAGGGGAGTATTTTGAGGGGTATTAATGGCAATGTGTCTTTTACTGTAATACATATTTTTAAAATTTAAACATTTTCTGTGTTTGTTGATCACACCTCATATTAAACCTCTGACACTCTTGAAATACAAAGCTCGGCATGTGATAGACACTTAGAAGTATTGCTAAACTTGTAAATGGAGAAGAAAATAACCTCTTCCTGTTTTCTCTCTATTGTGTTGTACTTGTCAGATTCTATGCACTAGGTTCTTTCCGTCTTTGACTCTTTTCCTCCTTCTCTATATTCAGCCCAAGGTTCTGTCCTCAGTTTTCTCTCTCTGTGCACTTTCAGTTAGAGAAACCTCAACTATTGCCTCTGCGTGAATAACTCCATTCTTTTTCTCCAGACCAGCTTTCTCATGAGCTTCCATTACCTATGTACAGTTGTCCTCTGGACATTTCCATTTGGGTATCCTGCCATTTTTTTAATGTAACTGGTTCAAATATATGTTGTTTCTCTCTAGTGGTATCGTCCTGTGTTTCCTGATTTCTGTCACAGTACTACCTTTTTCATAGCCACTATTCATTTTTATCTTCTTCCAATCACTATATGCACTAAATGTTTGTTGAGTGTCTTAGAAAATATTCTGAATTGTTCTTCCTTTCTCTTATCAATGTTAGTCAATTCCTTGTTAGTGTCCCTGAAACAGACTATCTTCAAGTCATTCCATCCTATAAATTACTGCTAGTTTATTTTTTAAACTATCTCGTTTTTCATGTGTCTCCTTTAGTCTAAAACCTTCAAGAGCTCCCCACTGATTATGGAATTGGCTTTCAAAAGATTTTTTTTTTGCTTTATTATTATTTTTTAATTACTAGACAACTTTGGAACACAAAGAAAACAGAAAATCTAGAGTTGTTTTTACTGAAAATCATTCAAGCCTCGACTTGGGCTTTATCTATACATTGTTTCCTAGACACTTCTGGGGGAATTTTGGGACATTTTAGAATACAATTTGAAATCCATTGACTCTAGTACAAAATCTTTATGTACTATTAGGCCCTGCTACATTCAACCAACCTGTTTACTACTTCCAATTGTTCCATGTAAATTCCATCTTTTCGCCTTGGCTTCTATCATGGATACTGACCATAATGCTCTTAAACCACCTTTCTGCTCCTTTAAATCTTGTTCATATCTCCAAGTGAAGCTCAGTCACTGCCTCTTCACTGGACATATGAGTAAATATTTAGGAAACAAAAGGGTTGGGTATCTTTCTTCCTGATGCGTATGTATCTTGAGGGGGTACTATTTTCTTTCTTTTGAGGAGGGGGGATTTCTTCTGTATTATATTTAATCATTGGATAAACAGATGTCACTATTTTATGCATATATTTTGAAACCCTGAACTAAATGATTTTAAACATTTAAAAGGAATGGGTTGAAGACTGTTTGATGCTAAATTTATATTTTAAGAGCACAAATCTAAGAATAATATCCATGTGACAAAAATCAATACTTTAAAATATACTTTATTATTTTTGTATCTGTTTTCTTTTAGGGCCTGCAACATACAGTCCTGTTTTACAGAAATGTTGCTCAATACCCTTATTTGTTAAAACATCGAAGCGTTTTCAAATTTCCAAAGAGGTTACTCCTGGTCCAGCAGCATATGAGGTATGTCAATGATATTTCTCTTTTATGAGTAACACAAGAATAGAATAATTTTTAGAAAGTATTGAAAATATCTACATTAAAGTCCTTGTCATATTTCTTATTCATATTACTCACTAATCAAAGTAATTTGGCTAAGGAAGCCTTTTTTGAAGACATTCTGACTTTTTAAAAATAATTATTTAAGAATTATTTAACAATTTATCTACAAATAACCTTTACAGCATTAATATATGTAATTTTTTTCATCCCTGAAACTTTAAGTATTTACTTGTTTATATACACAAATTGAAATTTCCAAGTATTTATTGAAATCATGAATTTATTAGAGGGTTCTGAAGAAAGCCCTATGGATCCAATAAAACCAAGTATTGATCTTTTATTTTCTTTTAATAAATGTAGATGCTGTAGTTTAGATTCATAAGAAATGAGTCTCTTTGAAGCTATGGGAATTTCTGATTGTAAGAAGCTTTAAATAGACCTGCAGGGTTTTAAAAATTACGTTCACAATAGGCCTTAATTCCCCATTTCATATGAAATAACTCCCCATTCCTACCCTACTAGTGAATATTTTATAGTGGCTGATGGCAATTAATATGAGTTAAAGCTTAGTGCAAACCACGATGAATGTTCTTCTTTGGGTTAGTTAATGACAAGTTGATTTTTATCGAATATATGCTTTTCTAGTTACTTAATATGTCGTAATCTAAATAGTATTTCAACATTGTCAAAGCAGACTCATAATGTAGTATCAGGAAAAAAGAAAAATAAAAGAAAATTAATGAGTTATTATTTTACTTGTTGGCTGTGGATTCCCCCAAAAGATCACTGCTAATGCTTACTGATTAAGCAGAGATGATTTTATTAGACTTACTTCAGGAAGAGAGACTCTGCTAGACAATCTTAGTGTTTCAGAGGTAGAAATCAATGGAGGATATTAATAATGTTTTAGGATTTGGACTGTGTAATGTGATGTAAGGCAAAGTCTTTCAAATAAGGGACTGGTTAGAATTTGGGAAAGTTTATGACATATCTACTTTGTATTGTTGGGTACATGAGGAAGGGTCTTGAAGCAAGTATTGAACAGTAAGCTATTAGTCTTGATAAATTAGGTATTATATCTTTTTATAGTCTGATCATATTAAATCTTTAGCTGAATGTTTCCCCCCTCCTTTTTAAAATGGATTTTAATGGTGTCCACAAAAATAAATGGCAGTAAATCTAATGTTAATCTTTTTCATTGTGATACACTTGTCATAGAAGATATGGCCACCAGTCCTTCTAGTATTTAAAGATGCTCTTCTTTTTTCTTTCATTAAGATTTTGAAAATTATACTTCCTCATAATCATTGATTGTGGAAAATTATTTTCCATGTCCGGAGAAAACATTTATGGGTTTAATAATGATGGTTATTAAATTATTGCATACAATTTTAAACTAATATGTATCCTATGTATACTGTACTGCAAGGTAACTTTTCTGTTGAGAACGACAGAGTGTAATTTTTTTGGTCTTCCCAACACCATTTGTTTCCTTTAACAGTTAAAAACTTTTTATGGACTAATAATTTTCTTTTGTGATTTTCCTTCTTTAAGAAACAGTTACTTTTAAGCTGATAGGCTGATAAATTACTAGGCCCCTTTATTACACGAGTAACTTGCTCTTAATTTTTCTTTGATGTTACTCTTTCTCTGTTAAGTTTAATATTAAGTTGTGACTCTTAAGAATATGTTTGCCTTAAACATTGTATTTTATTTTTCTTAACTGAAAAGATGACTCTAGAAATTTGTAACGTTTTAAGACTGTAATATTGGTTTCTATTTGAAGAGTACTTAAATGTACAAGTATATGACATGGAGATGGTTATAGGTTTTTTAGTGTTTCATGTCCACAGTGGATTCCACATTGTCCGGTGCTGGTGGTCTTTACAATAATATTTCTAATAACTGTAGCTCTCTAAAATTACACACTTACATTTGTAAAATCTGCTTGCCATTTTCATAATTTTATGAACTCTCTCTTGAGTTTCATAGGCAGCATTAGTTTTCTCTTTTTTTTTTGGTCAGAGTTGTCATTGCAATATTATCTTTACTTTGCCCATTATATTTTAATTACAAGCTAATCCATTTGTCTTTTTTGCTTCTTTTAGTTGTTGATATTTACTGATTCACTATCATGAACCCTTTTATATATCCAATGAAAGCTAGAGGCTGTTTAATTTCTGGGGAAAAGAAAGTACGCTTATAACAAAAAACTGTGAATACAATTTTAGAAGGTTTATTAATCCACAAAAGCTCATTTATGGTTCTAATCAAGAACTCCCAATAGATTCTGAGCTCTATGAGGGCAACGGCTTATTTAATTTTATATGATTAGGGTTTCAACCACAGAATCTGGCACATGTAGTATATCAATAATTGTTTACTGTATAAATTAACAAAATGGATAATCCTAGGACTTTCTTCCTAGGATTAAATCACTAATCTTTATCTAGAAATAAAGATTTATTTATGGGCTTAGTTCTCAGTGAAAAGAATATGTATATGTTCTTCTAAAATAGCATTATGTTTTATTGATTGATTCACATTCTCTTGTTAAGTAAGTGTCTGAGCAAAACATGCATTTTTAAGTATTAGACAAGGCTCTGCATTATTTCCTGGTATTTAAAATGGACAATTATTGTATGAGAATATTTTTTTAAATGGATAAAGGAAACTTCAATGAATTTAAGTTTAAAAAATCCTTCATTTAAATATTACATAAAATTTTAAATACACTTGTCTAATAAAACAAATTCTACTGAAATGGATTAAAATGCAATAATATAAGTTTATTTTTAATATGTTTTTCTACTTCATTGAGATATTGGTGTATACCGTGTATAAACTTAAGGTGTGCAATGTGATGATTTTGTGCACATATAGGTTGTGAAATGTTTACCTGTAGGGCGAAAGCTGGCAAAACCTGCAGGGGTATGTGGCGGCTGTGGGGGACACTGGCTTCATTGGTACTGAAATTTCCTGAGTTTGTCTGTAGGGTAGGTCTCTGTGAACTGCAATTGCTCCTGCTGTATATCAGCTAATAATAGCGTCTGATTTTCTTCCTTGTTTTTAGCCAGCTCTATACATCTCAGCTTTGCCAGCCTGGGTGGGGTGAAACCAAAGTGGGACCTTCCGGCAGTGCTCGGAGAGGCTGGAGAAGCCTGTGTCACCCCACCCATTTTTTCTGGCAAGTGGGACTCTTTCTAGCTGGAAAGTTCCTTTTTGGCCCTGAACAATCTCATCTGGGGGATAGGATGATACAGGCAAAATTGTCTTCTTGTGCAGTTATTCACAGTTTTTTTTTTGTTGTTGTTGTTCCACTGTGTTGCTAAACTTCCTAAGAAGACTCTAGAGATGTCCCAGAGCTGTTTTTGTTCATGGGTCACTGTCAAATCATTGATCTTTGTTGGGGGACCTGGAAGCTGGTTTCTCCCACTTCACTATTTTTTTTCTCAAAAATATCAACAGTTTTTTCTTCAAGCACTTTGAATATATCATCCCACTCTCTTCTGGCTGCAAGGTTTCTTTTCTGCTGGAAAATCCACTGATAGTTTTGTAAGGTTCCCTTGTACATGACAAGTCACTTTTCTCTCATTGCTTTCAAAATTCTCTTTGTGTTTGACTTTTGACAATTTGATTATAATGTGTCTTGGTATATATATATATATATATATATATAATTTTATTCATCTTTTCTGATATCTTTTGGTCTTACTCAATCTGATTTCCATTTCCCACCCCAGGTTTGGGACACTTCAGACATTATTTCTTTGAATAACTTTTCTGGTCCTCTGTCGCCTTATTCTGGAACTCCCATAATGCCTGTGTGGTCCAGATGAAGGTGTCTCATAAGCCTCATTAGCTTTCTTCACTCTTTTTAATTCTGGTTTTTTTTTTTGCTCCTCTGACTGAATAATTTCTAGTAATCTACCTTTAAGTATATATTCCTGTCTTCTGCTTATTTTAATATTGAAATACTCTAGTACAGTTTTCAGTTCAATTGTTGTGTTCTTCAGCTGACTGATTTCTGTTTGGTACTTTTATATATATATAATATATATATATATAATATATATATATATATATATATATATATATATATATATATATGTACTCTTAGTTTAAATCCTCACTTTGTTCATTCATTGTTCTTCTGACCTTTGTGAACATATTTATGATGATGATTTCAAATCCTATAACATGTAAATCATATACCTCCATTTCCTTAGGGTCAGTTTCTAGAGATTTATCTTGGTTCTCTGCTTGGAACATATTTCTCCATTTCTTCATTTTCTTTGACTCTCTGAGTTGGTGTCTGCACATTAAACAGAACAGCCACCTCTCCCAGCCTTCATGATTGGCCTTGTATAGGAGAATGCCTTCACAATAAGCCTGACCAGAGATTCTGGACACCAGTCAAGCCTTAGTGCTACTCCAACCGATCTTTTTTGTTGTTAGTGGCCTTCTGGCATCTAGAGTATGCTGGTTGCCATCAGTGCTCCAAGTAGAGTGTGGGAGTGGAGTCAATGGAATTGTAATAGATATGTATGATATCGGGGGGTGGGGGGGTAGTACATGGAGGAGGGGGGTTCTCCCTTTTTGAGGGGTGAAAAGGATAACTATTGCATTGTTTTGTACACCTGAAACTAATAATAAAATTTTAAAAAATAGGAGAAAAAAACCCCAAAAAACAAATATATGTAAATATATATAAAAACAGTTCATCTACAAAATAAATTAGGATTATAATGCCAATTAATTAATTAATTAATTAATTACAAAGAAAAAAATAAGTGAGACGGATTCCAGTTACTTGGGCAGCTCCCAGAGAAGTTGAATCAGCAGAAGCTCTGACTATCTCTTTCCCTCCCTAGGGATAAGTTGTGGTTTGAGGTTTTTAGCTTGTTCACTGTGCACTGAGCTGGGATCAAGGGCTCTGGCAATTAGCTGCACACTAGCTA